TTAGCCAAACCAATCTGAAATCATATATTGCTTCCCTCTGTTACTTCCATGGAGGATACCAAAACTCTGCATATAGCCATGTTCCCATGGTTGGCCATGGGTCATCTCATCCCTTTCTTTCGCCTCTCTGAACTCTTAGCTCAAAAGGGTCACAGAATTTCCTTCATATCAACTCCAAGAAATATCTCTTGCCTCCCTAAAATACGTTCAAACCTCTCCACTCTGATTAATTTGGTTTCCCTCCCCTTACCCAGTAGACCAGATTTACCATCCGATGCAGAGTCCACCATGGATGTAAACAACCTACAGCAACAGCCACTCAAGCACGCTTTCGATCAGCTGAGACCGGCGCTGGTTGATTTCCTGGAATCCTCAACTCCAGACTGGATTATTTACGATTACGCATCTCACTGGCTACCGCAGCTTGCCGGGGAGTTGGGGATCTCGAGAGCCTACTTCAGCCTCTTCACCGCTGCGTGCCTCGCCTTTATAGGGCCTCGGTCGGACTTGGCCAAGGATGAACGATCAACGCCGGAGGATTTCACGGTGGCACCTAAATGGGTGCCGTTCGAATCCAACATTTACTATCGTTTACACGAGACGACGAAATTTATAGAGAGAATAGATGAGGATAAATCGGGACCGTCCGATCTGGTTCGGTTCGCCATATCCGTTGAACAAAGCGACATCGTGATGATAAGAAGCTGTGAGGAGTTCGAACAGGATTGGTTCGATCTTCTACGCAAGCTTTTGGAAAAACCGGTGATACCCGTCGGGTTCTTACCCCCGGTGACTGAATCCGACGTCGGGGAAGATGACTCAAACTGGGTTGGAATTAAACAGTGGTTAGATAAACAGAGATCCAACTCAGTGGTTTACGTGGCGTTTGGGACCGAGCCGGTTCTGAGTCGGGACGAACTCACTGAGTTGGCTTTAGGATTAGAGAAGTCTGAGCTGCCATTCTTCTGGGTGTTAAGAAACTCGCCCAGGTCAACTCAGTCAACATTGGAGGAATTGCCAAATGGGTTCACCGAACGAGTCAAGGGGCGTGGATTAGTTTACAATGGGTGGGCTCCGCAAGTGAAGGTACTGAGTCACGACTCGGTCGGGGGGTTTCTGACTCACTGTGGGTGGAACTCGGTGGTGGAAGGGTTGTCTTTCGGGCGAGTTTTGGTTCTGTTTCCGGTAACAAATGACCAAGGGCCTAATGCTAGGCTGTTGGAGGGGAAGAAACTGGGGGTGGAGATACGGCGGAATGAGAGAGATGGATCGTTTAGGAGTGAGTGGGTGGCTGAGTCGCTGAGGTTGGCCATGGTGGATGACCCTGACAAGTTGTTGAATAGGAAAACGAAGGAAATGATGAGATGCATTCAAGATAAGGATAGAAACGAAGGGTACTTGGGAAGGTTGGCACGTTACTTGGAGGTGGAACGAAGGCAAGTTGGTTGACGCCGGGGAAAGAAATGTAAAATAATAAAGGCCAAAGCCCTATTTGCACCCTCCATTTATTTACTTTTTGTGATCAACACCTTTCAAATATTTTTTTTTCAATTAACACCTTTTACTTTTCAAAACTCGTGGAAAACTTGATATTGTAACGGATCGTCATGTTACCATTAATAACCGTTAGAAAATACAATATGTGATATTCAAATAATGACGTGGACGTTACGTGACATTATTTATCCACTGTGAACGATTTTTTGATGAAGTGGCATGATGACATGACATAATTTCATATGAATATCTCCCAACCAAAAAAAAAAAAAAACTAAAACAAAAAATTAAATGAATTAAATCATAATCAACTTTAATTTTTTCGTATTCTTCTTTCTCCTCATCCTTGACATCATCTTCATTGTCCTCTTCATCATCTTCATTGTCCTCTTCATCATCCTCCTGAGTTTCGTAAGGAACCTAGGTTCTAGGGTTCCATGAACCCAGGTAAGGAACCTAGTTTTGGGTTCCTCATGGAACCCAACCTCTATGGAAGATCAAAAAAGATTTCATCCCTGGTTCTAATAGAGGTTGATTTAGATTGGAAAAAAAAAAAAAAGAACAATCTTTTAATTCACTTGCAAGAAAAGTTGGGAACCCATCAAAGAATCAAATCATCATCTTATTATTCTATCAAAACCAGAAAGAATCACAAAAAAGAAAGGCGAAAGAAAAGTACAAACTAGGTTGTTCGTGGAACCCAAAGCCGAGTTCCTCATTATGAGGAACCCAACCTAGTTTGGGCACCTCATGATGGAACCCCAACAAGGAACCCAATTCATCATGATGGAACCCAAATCAGGTTTCTCGTTTGGGTTCCTCACGACGAAAAACCCAACTCTGAGTTACTCATGATGGAACCTAGATCAGGTTCCTCTTCGTGAGGAACCCAATTTGGGTTCCTCGTCAAACCCATCTAGGTCATGAGAAACCTAGGTCCCATCCTATTCTAGTTTTTCTTTTTCTTTTTTTGGTTGGGAGGTATTCATATGAAATTATGTCACGTCATCATGCCACATAATCAAAAAATCGTCCTCATTGGATAAATAATGTCACGTAACGTCCACGTCATTATTCGAATGCCACGTATTATATTTTTTTAACAGTTATTAATAGTGACGTGATGGTTTCGTTAAAATATTATATTTTTCATGAATTTTGAAAATTAGAGGGCGTCAATGGAAAGGAAAACATTTAGAAGGTGTTGACCGTGGAAAGTAAATAAATGAAGGGTGCAAATAGGGCTTTGGCCAATAATAAATCCATTATGCCGACAAGAACAGAAAAAAATCCATAATGGCACTGAGAAAAGAAGAGGAAGTGGAGACAAAAAGCTTGGTCTTAGACTCTTAGCCTTGCACTGAATAATTGAATATTTGATTTCAAACATGGGGAAGACTGTCGGAAGCATGTTTTAATATGATAAGGACACGAATCTAATTATTTTTGTATACTTTAAAGAATATGAATTATTTTAAGTTCGGCGCTAGGAGAGGAACAAAACTTTTATATAATTTTTTAATATAATTTTTTTT